AGATTAAATGTAGGCTAATGAATGAAGAAAAAACTACAAGGAATGACTGAATGATAGAGATGAGGAGGAGAGAGAAAGGATATAAAAGACTACATTCACAGATTTTGAAAATGAGATCTAGCAGGGTTTTTGCTTCACAGAAAATTAGAGGTCGTTTGATTGAAATTTTGCTTGGTGTTTTTGTGTGTACTGAATCTGCATACATACTGGGGAGCATTACTGGTTAGGATGATGACAGGGAAACAGCTTCTCAAAACCTTTTGCTGGGGATGCATAAGTGATCAAAGGCAGACTCCACTGCTGAGGTTGAAAGCTTACTCTGACTAGGTGACCATGGCTGTCTTGCCCAACCCTCACCTGCACTGATTTACGGAGGAGAGCTCAGCTTTGAAGAGCCTAGTATTGAAGAACACTGACAGCTCCCTCCAACCAGTCCAGTATCCTATAGCCCATCTTTGCAATCACTAGTACTCTGATTTAAGGGCAAAGAAATGTCTGACAGATGACAAAAGGCCCTTCTGTGTGGGTTAGAGCACAAGAGGATGCAATGCACACTGGTTCAGAATTTTCCTTTCAACCTATTGAGATCATACCATGATAGATATATACCTCTATTGTCTGCCCGGGGAAAGATGCCTGAGTCTTTCTATGGCTAGGGACAGGCATTCAAAAAACTGGACCCTGAATTGATTCAATCTTTTCAGGTCAGTCTAACCTGCCCAGATAGAACCAATTTGCAATTGAATAGTCATTCATTTTTAATTCAGGAAATGCAGGTACATGCCTGCAGTGGCTCAGGCCAGAAGTGCTAGAGTGTCCCCTTGGCTGTAGGGAAGCTGTGTTGGGGAAGGGGTGGCTAGCCCTGGCAGTAGCCTCAAGTGAACTGGTCAGGGAGGGGATTTATTTCCCCGTCTCCCTGTCCCAGTGGCACAGACCTGAGCTGGGGTCCACCTGGTGCTCGCCCTTTGGGCCACACTCCTGCCCCTTCCTGCTCTTACTCTGGCTAGGAAGCAGAGGGGCAGAGCCAGCCCTGCTCTGCTGGAGCAGACAGCCTAGCCCAGCCCAGGGCTGCAGAGTATACCAGGATGCTGGGGGACTCTGGTTTAACTTAAACCAGGAAGGGGTCTGGGACAGAAGTTGCAGAAACAAGTTTGAGCTCAGTCAGTTAAGTCTGATATTACATTCAACCAGATTTATCTCAAACCAGCTTCAGCCATTTTGAAACTGGTTTATATGCACTGAACTTATGTTCTGTTACAGGTTTAAACCCCGACAGCAACACAGGTCTGTTGTGGGTAGGTTGTGTCTGACTAACCTCAACTTCTTCTACGACCAGGTTACTCACCACCTGGATAAGGGAGATGAGGTCGATGTCATTTACTTGGACTTTAGGATTTTGACTTGATGTCCCATGAGGCTCTCCAGGTAAAACTATGGGACTTTGGGCTCAACAATTCAATGGTCAGATGGGTGGGAAACTGACTCTGGGGTCAGACCCAGAGAGTACTAATAGACAGATCTGTGTTGACTTGGCGGAAGGTAGACAGTGGGGTCCCCCCAGGTTCAATACTTGGACCAGTGCTTTTCAACATCTTCATCAATGATCTGGATATGG